ATTTAAATTTAAAATTTTTATTTTTAATGAAAAGATTATTACTAAATTTTTTAAATTGTTAATAAATTTAAACAAATTGATTGCAATCAGTATAAAGAGAATGTCCATGAAAATAAGAGGTTGAGAGCTCTCTATAAAAGCGTATATAACTATACATCCATTATATATAAAAAAAAAAAATTACTTGTAAGATTTCATGCTCACCACACCAACTTCTCGATTCGATCCAATATTATATAGTCAAATTGGAGTTAGAGATTTATTAACAGTAGTCTTGTCTTGATTTATATACACTACCCATAATTTTTTCCCAATAGGATATAATTCCTTTCCAAACAAGGATGGGAAATGAGATTACAAATGCCTAAATTTGAAAATGATTGGCATATATGTTAATTATATTCACGGGCTTGTTGCAGCATTACGAGGAAAGTTGTTGCCTCTGGAAAGAGCTACTCATCACTTGCCCAAAATGTGTTGTGGAGTGAGTAATTGACTACACCTTCTTTTTTTCCAAATAAAAATGATAATCTTCTAAAGCTTTTGAAAAGGAAGTAAAATCTTGACTAAACAAAAAATAACAATTTTAAGTACACGTTATAAAATAGTTTACTAAACACCGAACAACACTTTCTAAACAAGAGAACAACACTTTTTAGAGTAACTACTTCATCAAAATGCTGCAACAAATTAACACAGCCTAAATAGACTTGAACCCATTGGATTAGGGGTTGGGATGGTTATGAAGAAAAGGGAAGAAAAACAAAAGTAGAGGAAACTCTCTCCACCAAACGACAACATCATGATGGCCAAAATGGCAACATCATTCCAAATCATGGACAAAATATCCTTTTTTTCAATATTGCAAGAAACTATTTTGCCTCTTTGCTTTTCCTTGAAATTTCCTACATGATATATCTTATTTTTTAATTTTTTAGTGGCTTCCTACATAATATATCACCACACCAAGCATGCTCGCCTATGATTACATTAGCCACCCACAATAATTCACCAATAAAAATATCACAAAAATACTACAACATATCCTCCTTAAAAAAAAAAAAAAAATTTCCCCTTCATTTTGTGATGTATAATACCAATAGTAGTATTTTTATCTAAATTCTAAAAATATTAATCTTGAACACTACTAGTGCATGGAGCTGCTCCAATAAATCAAGTAAACATATTAATTTAACTCTCTACACTAAAACTCCAGTGAAAAAAAAAAAAAAAAAGGAAATTTCTAATTAAGATGAAATTTATTATTTTAAATTCCATATATTCATCATAGATTCAACTTGAAAATAAGCAAAATATTAATAATGCCTCCAGTTTGGCATTTCCAAATCCATCAAACTTAATTTTTCACAACAGGTGATGATATTACTTACCAGACATTTTTTTTTTTTTTTTAGAAAAGAAAAGGAGAAATTAAACCTCCGCCACAGCTGCTTCCCCTTCGCCCTTATTCTTTCCTTTCCCCGTCCTCCGCCTGGTAGTGGTGGCGGCAGCGGCGGCACCAGCGGCATCATGCCTGATCATGTAATTTCCATCGTTGTAGATCAGCGGCACTTCATTAGCTTCCTCGCCGTCTTCCTTGGTGGCGATGCGGATGCAAGAACACCGTTCTAGTGACGCGAAAAATGCAGCAGCGACACCGTTGATGAGCCACGTGGCGACGCCGTCGAGCTTGCCGCACGGTGGTGAGGCCCGGTGGCTGGACGAGGTCCGGACCCTTGGCTCGTCATTGGTGGACCGGAAATTGAAGAAGCTAGTGGAGGTAGTAGCTGCCATGGATCGGAGATGTGAGGGCAGAAGTGGCCACCGAATTGAGGAAGGTTCAGTTTCAGGTTGTTCTTTAAGCTATTATTATGGAGCTTCAGTAAGGAGGAGCTTCATAATTACAAGTTCAGTTAATTCCCACACATGCCCTTCACGTTTGGTGAATTTACAGACCTGACCAGCAGTAAAAATAAATGAATTTTCG